GTCCTTTGCTGGTGTCCCCAAAGAAGTGTGTGGGAGGAAGATGGAAGTGTGGGGAAGTGCGGGGCCTCTACATGGAGAGGAAAATGTGTCCTTATATAGACAGTGCTTCACCCCTTCCACTCCTGGGCTCTGGACTCAAGGCTTCTGGGCAGCTTTTTTTTTTTTTTTTTTTTGGTCTTCCCCAAGAGGTTGGTTCCCTCAACTCTGACTCCGCAGGGAGCATGAAGTCTTGGGAAGCTTCTGGGAGGGGTTCAGCTTCTAGAGCTCCCTGACGGGGCAGGGCAGAGGGGCTGGGCTCCAACCTCTCCCTGGGTTGGCTCACCCTTCCTTGCTAGCCTCTCCGTCTGCCTGAATGTAAGCAGCATGCTAGCGTAGTAAGAAGAGAGATCAGGATGGCTGAGCTTCTTTCTGGCTCTGCTGCTTAGGAGCTGTGAGTCCCTGGGCAAGTTCCTGAACTCTTCTGCGTCTGAGCTTCCTCACGAGGAAAACAGAAATACCACCACCTCAATAGCAGAGTGCAGGAGGAGTGACCGAGTCATAAGGTGATAGCTGACATTTACTGGGTTTTGACTCCATGTATGCACTGTGCTAAGTGCTTTGTATGCTCAGATCAGGTTGAATTATACCATTTGCCCGTACTGAAGTGTTTTTGACCTACAAAAACAACAGTTTTATTTAGTTCCACATAACACCTGTTAGTTGCCTGTGGTGATTTGAAGAATAAATGTGGGGGTGGGAACAGACTTAGTAATATGGCAGGGCCAAGGCCAACAGAGGACAGGCAGGTCAAAATCAGCTCAGCAACAATCAGAAGTGCCCAGGGGCCAAGGTAACAAAGGACCACAGTGGTCAGGAGCCAAGGCTTGGGTTTAACTTCCCACTCTGCTAGTTACTGTGGCCTCAAGCAGGTGACTCAGTCTCTATATGCCTGAGATGAGGCTGTTGTTACCGTCACTCCCCTGAAGCCCTCCGGCAAGGTTGCCGACGGCCTCAGTGTTGCCAAACCCAGTGGCCGATTCTCAGGCTCATCTTTATTTGGCAGCAGCATTGACACATTCATCTGTCTTTGTTTCTTTTCTTTTTTTTTTTCTTTTTCTTTCAGAAGGAGTCTTGCTCTGTCACCCAGGCTGGAGTGCAGTGGCACAATCTTAGCTCCCTGCCACCTCCGCCCCCTGGGTTCAAGCGATTCTCCTGCCTCAGCCTCCCAAGTAGCTGGGACTACAGGCAGGCCCCACAGCCTCCAGCCAACTATTGTATTTTTTGTAGAGATAGGGTTTCACCATGTTTCCCAGGCTGGTATCGAACTCCTGGTTCAAGCAATTCACCTGCCTCAGCCTCTCAAAGTGTTAATATTACAGGCATGAGCCATCATGCCCAGCCTGATTCGTTGATCATTCCTTCCTTTTTGAAGTTATCATTTGGTTTCTGGGGCACCCCCATCTTCTGGGTTTCTTCCCATCTCACTGCAATACTTTCTTCTTAGTCTCTTTTGCAGGCCCCTGTCCTTCCCCTCCTCTCCCTCTCTCCCTCTTCCTATCTCTACTCTCCCCAGGACCTCATTCAACCCCAGGGCAGTGAATGACCTCTATGTGTGGATGGCTTCCTGTATCCTGTCTCCAACCCCCTCAACTCCAGATTCATCTAAACACCTGCTTATGTGACAGGACCACTTGAGAGGTGAAATGGGCAACTTAAACTTCACATGCACTAAACTCTTGATCGTGCCCCCATCCCCCACCATTGATTTTCACTCCCCCATGAAAACTAACAGTCATCTTTGACTTCTCTCTCCACACCCAGCTCATCAGCAACTCCTATCAGCTCAACAGCCAAAGAGGTTATGAATCTGATCACTTCCAGTTCCTATTGTGGCAACCTCCCCATGCTCTCCCTCTGACTCATCCTGGGTCTGGTCCTCACCTGGACATGAGTGATCCTTCATAATTGTCCAGTGTTGGTCCCTCAAGCTTAGAATAAAATCTCTTTTTTTTTGTCATAGCCAACTCTGCCTGCATCTGGTCCACGGTCCTCCTCAACCTCACGTCCTACCATCCTGCACCCCTTGCTCATGGCTCCACCACTCTGGCCTCCTGCCTCATCCTGGAATGCCTCAAGCACTCTCCTCAGCTCAGGGCTGTGCCAGGCTGTCACCTCCTCCCTCTTCCTTCCCTGGCTTCCTTCAGTCTCTGTTCAAATGTTCCTTCCTCATAGAGACCTCAGTGACTACCTCCCTCTAAAAATGGCATTCCCTCCCCCATTACCCTGCTTTGCTTTCTCTGTAGCTTGTGACATTACCTGAGGACATGACACAGCTCTTCACTGCCTTACTGCATCTCTCCCACTAGAAAAGTCCCCAAAACTAGAATGTTTCCTACTTCATTTACTGTTTTAAAACCAGTTCCTACAGCAGTGCCTGGCACAGAGTAGGTACTCAGATATTTGTTGAATGACTGAGTGATGGCATGAGTGTCCACTGGAGTGTCCCTTCCTATCACAATTATGCATGACCTTCCGTGGTCACAAAACCCTGGTCTCACTGGTACCAAAAGCTGAGTTCCCCAGCCAGGGTGGCTGGGGACAGGAGGCCTGAGTTGGGAATGACTGGATGAGCCAGTGAGGGGATAAAGCATTGTCTGACTCCTCTCATGGGATTCTGGCCTAAGAAGGACTTTGCTTCCTCACTGCTCTTCTGGGTAGAAATGAGAGGAAAGGTGTTATTCAGTCCTCCTATGTGCTGAAGGACTTCCCTGCAGGAAAGGCTGTTACTCAAGAAGGTCTGGATCACTCTGAGAGCGGGCCCCTCGTGGTAATTCACTGCACAGGGAGGCCACGTCAGGCTGTGGAAAGGGGCAGGTTTCTGGGCCAGACCACTGAGTCCTGCCAGGATACTTCATGTAATTCACTGTGCAGGGTGGAGCCCCAACACTGGATCTATGTCTACTGTCTATGGGGCCTGGAAGGCAGCTGACCCTTGGTGAGCCTTAGTTTGCTCACTGAGAAAGACACCCTTTCCAACTGTTGCATAAACTGAAAATGCAAAGTGCACAAGAGTCTCTGGCCAGCGCAGGCACTGAAGGTCAGCTTGTTCTCCTCCTGGGCAAGTTTTCTGGCAAGTCCATGTTTACTCTAGGTTTTCACTCCCTTCTGTGTGGCACAAGTTAACCCTTGCCTTCTGCTGAGTTCAGAAGGAAGGGTGATAGGACCATAATCAAGAAAGTACATAAACACCCTTTTTCTTAGGAAAAAGACCCAAACACATGATTAAAATAGCCGGTGTGCTGCATTATAAAGGTTATATCCCTTATCCTTATGATATGAGGGAATCAGTAGCGTGGGTAATGCAGACCGGCCAGTGAGCCCCATTGCCTCATTTTTATGAAGTTTTGAAAGATACGTTGGCCTCAGATGTATGGTCTTGATGACCCTTCATCTGGCACAGGATAAGTAATAGTGACTTTCAGGGGTCAGGCCAGCACTGCTGAGTGGCTGGGGAAGCCAGTCTGAAGTCAGCACCAGCTGTGGTCCCCACGCCCAGCGGAGGACCCTACTTTCCATAACAGGGATGAAGGGCTGGTTCTCTGCAGAGGTCGGGTGGGCAGTTGCAGATGGAGACAGGCTGGAAAAGCCCACACAATGGCTGGGCTTGAAAATTCAGTCATTGTTGCTCCTTAGGACAAGTAGTTCTTCAATGTATTCTGATTCATGACTCCTTTTGAGAATTCAACAAAAAACTGTGGACCCCTCTTTTCAGAAATATGCTCCAACCCACAAAACACATTTTGCTTGTAATTTCAAGGGATGCACAAATGCACTGGGATCTCCAAATCAAGTATGATGCTGTGGGGAGTAGGGAGAGCTGAGAGGATGAGGGGACCGAATGAAGGCAGTAGACCTAGCCTAGCCAGTGGGCTGGAGCACCAGCTGATAGAAAGAAAGGCGACCACAGTACTTTAGTACTTTCCTAGAGAGGCTCTTGATGAAAAAATAAAGCTGCCCCCTGCCCCCAGTGTATTAGAAATAAAATAAAATAAAATAAAGCTAAATGTGGGCAAATGCTTTAGGACACTAATCTATCTGCAAGTATAGCAACAGGGAAAGAAGAGCAGGGGGAAGAGGCCGCCCTTATCCTTTCTGTCAACAAAACCAAACCCAATGGACTGAGAGTCAGTCCTGTTATCTCAGCTGCGCTCCCTCCTATCACTTTTCTAGCTTTTCTTCTAAGACCCAGCTTCCAGTTTGCAGCCGGATGCCAAACTCTGCGTTTGAAGGAATTAGGGTTAAATAATGATGGTCATCAAGATTAGTGGAGAGGGCAAAGGAATCTGCCAGCAGACTCTGGGCAGACAAAGCCCTTCAAATTGCAGAATTCATTCCCCAACCCTTAAAAAAAAAAGATAATCCCCAAGTATATTCAGTAGGGGAAAAGGAAATTTCATCTTGAAAACAAATCTGGAAAAGGTGCTGACATTTTACTGATAAGGGAGAATGAACTGTTCTCCTGCTTTCAGCTAGCCATGTAAATAGGACCTAAAGGGGCTCCAAAAGCCGATAACCTCCTTTGCTGGCTCAGGAATCAGCGCAAGTTCCAAATGAGCAGAGAGGTGTTAGAGATGGGCTTCAGGGATCAAGTTTCTAGAAACACTGTATTTTACAGTGCAGCACTTGTACAGAAAGAAGCAGGACTGTGATCTGGTGGGTGACAGTCTGGGTGAGGAGAGACTCCCACACAGGAGTCATCAGCCACAACATCCCCTGTGCAGAACCTCAAAGCATGTGTCCCACGTCCCCTCTGAACTGACCATAAACTTGGACCCACCAAGTCTGCTTCCTTAACCTCAGAGCCCCTGTAGCACAGGTACGCATGGATTTCCTAGGAGAAGTACACAATATTAGATGAGTTCAGCTTACCTTTTGGCTATTAACAATTAATTTCTGTTGCCATTGTGTTTTTATGAAAAAGACTTTCTTTTCCACCTCTCTCCCATTATCATGTTCCATAGAGCTCAGCTTTGTGGTGAGGAAACTGACTGTAAAGTCGGGAATGAGGACACGGGCTCTACATGGTGTGGAATGGGAGTGAGACAGGATAGGACTTCAGAACTCAAGTGATCACACCCAGGAGAGAGAACAACGAAGCTGGGCTTCAAGATGCCTTATTTGGACACTAGTTTTTGATGTGTCTCTGATGGTTATTAACCAGGCATTTCAAGGGCAAGAAACGATTTCCCCCAAACTACCTTTCGGGACATTTCCAGGTTAGTGCCAAATACAAAGAACTGATACTCGGTTGTGAGTCCTGGGATGGGGTTCTGGCCCTGGCTCTGCTCTAAATGGGCCAGGGAGCCCTCCTGAAAATGCATTTCCTCTCTGGATGCCTTCAGTTTCTCATCTGTAAAATGAGGGTACTCGTCTAAACTGTCACACAGTTCATCCTACTTCTCAGGCTCCAATTCTACACTCCTCAGGGAGGAGACAAAAAAGAGTCACGAATGTGCTTCCTGCATTTTGTTAGGACAAAGCCCAGTTCCTCACAGCCTGGCACTGCCTCTTCCTAACACAGAAACTCCACTGAGACCTGGCAGGCCTGCTCCCTTCCCAACGTGTATTATTATGATTATTACCATTTGGTTTTGGCAGAGGCTGCCCTGTCCTCTCTACCCAGAGACTCAACCCCGACTCACCTCCTCAGGGAAGTCTCCCATATGGATCCCACTCTGCTCCCTCCTCCTCACGGCTGACCCTGTTGGGTCCGTCCTGCCAGCTCGGACACTTGTTTGTTGTGGCTTTTATAAAATACTCTGTAGTCATTTTCCTGTGGGTGTGTCTTTTCCCCTGCCCAGTGCCCCAGCTTCCCAGCTAAGAAGGTTCTGGGTGTGGGGGTCAGGACTGGGAGGGGGACAGGACAACCAGGGGAGGGGGTGAAGAAAGAGGCCATGTAGGTGACCAAGTAGAGCTGCCACTTTCCTTCCTGTCTCTTTTTCTTTTTCTTTTTCTTTTGGCAAAAGATAGGTTGACATCCAAATGAATGCCTTTGGGTAGAGAGGGCAGTGTTGGGGGCAGTTCTGTCTGACAGGCAAGGTACAGTAGGCAAGGGAAGGGCTGAGAAATGGGACCCTGTGTATGGGTGGTGGCGATTGGTGGGCACAACCTACCATCCACGGTGACTTGGCAGGAGCACTCAGCCTGGCCTGCGTCATTCTTGGCTACACACTTGTATAAGCCTCTGTCCTCAGGCAGTGCCTTCTCGATGGAGACGGAGCAGAGTGAGCCTGGGGAAGAAGAAGCATTGTTGAGTGAACCAGGTGTGGTCTTAGTACCCGCCCTGGCACCTGGAGCACGGCAGGTGAGTGTTACTCACATGGGCAGCCTCTGGGAGCCCAGAAGCCAGAAGCCCTGTGGGAACCAACCTTTTCTCCTCACCAAAGCCAGGGCACTTTCTGCTTATAACCCATGTCCAAAATAACTGATTCCTAGATATGTTCCTTCCTGATACCTCCTCCCCGACTCCAAAGAGTCCTGTTGTGGGGACATAATAGAAAGCTGCAAAAGAAGGGAGATAAATAGCCTCTGCTCTTGGAGACCATCCAATACAACAGAAGGAGATGCACACAGGCCCTCACCCTGGACGTCACCAAGAGAGAAAAGGAGTCTGGCACAGGGTTATAGACCTGTGTTAGGAACAGTGACAGGTGAGGGGACCTGCTCTGCTTACAGCAGTGATGCTGTGACTACATGCTGGAAAAGGGAGCTTTGAGCAAAGAAGTAGGTGGAGGAGGCTAGGAGCCCTTGTTCAGGAGAAGCACAGGCCTGTTGGAAGATCTGTTGGGAGGCGGTGACTACAGCCAGGGCCACAGGAGCTGACTTTTTAGGAAGGATGTCTGAGCTGTAGAACCATGGCCAATGAGGGGCACTAGGCCTGTGGAGGGGCCCTCTGGGGCTGCTTCCCTTCAGAGTTGGGTCTTCTGGTTGCCCCAGAGAGAAGCAGGAATGGCCTTCCTTCTCCATGAACTCTCCCTTGGGCCTGCCTTCATCCCAGACCCATCTTCTGCCGTGGTTTGGGGAAGGAGGTGTCAGCTAGGCACACACAGGGATCTGGGGTCTAGTCCTGGCCCATCCCAGCTCTCTCATCCCAGGGTTGATTACTTCTCCTCTGGGGCCCCTCTTGGGGAGGTTCCCTCAGGGTGTGGAGAGAGGCCTGCTGGACCAGGCAGAGGGGCAGTAGTCCCTAGGTCCTGCTTTCAGATGCACAAACAAACCAGCAGCAGGACATCCTGCTCAAAGCTGCCCCTGTTGTCAGGGCAGCAGCCGTCACACAGGAGAACAGAGCCAGGGCCACATGCAACCTGCCACCCGGAGCTCCCAGCTCACCTCCCACAAGCTGCTGGCACTGGGAGGGAAGAGCTGAGTGCATTCTGGGTGGACACTGACTACTGTCCCTGCTCCCCATTACACAAATGCACAGTCTTGACCAGCAAAAAGATTAGAAAGAGGAAGGATGACGTCAGTTCTGCCCAGAAAAGCTCACTAAGGCTGTAATATTCCCTTTTACTCCCTGCCACCTGGGGCAAGAGGGCTGATCTGCACTGCACTCCCAACCTCCCATGCCCTTATACAGACCGCAACCCTCAGGAACGCTTCCCTCCATTCTCTTCCCTTTGTGGTTGGGAGACAGAATTTGCAGAAACTGTAATGGAGAGGATTTAGGCTGGATTTTTAGGAAGTTCTATCATAAGAGTGAGAATCGTGATGTGCAGGAATGGGGAATGAGAATAACCATGTCCTGGAGAGAGAACTTTCCATTCATCTGGGTGGGCAGGAGAATGCCGAGATGACCTCTGTCCCCAACTAGAGGGCTCAGGGGCTTAGCAGAGACCAATCCCATCTCAAAATTTTCCCTCAAGTCAGGGTGGGGCCAAGGCTTTGGGAACAGATATCCCACCCCCAACTCACATCCTGTTCAAATCTTTGATTTTCTTTCAGTTTCAGTCCCTCAGCTGCCTTGAGCCTTAAGTCAAAATGATACAAGCTGCAAAGACAGTGCACAGAGAGTAGCGGGGTATGTGGGCCCGGCCCCCGCCCCCTCTGCCGGGGCAAGGCACAGGGCAGGCAGCTTTTCCAACCTGCCCAGAGCCGGGACCCCTGGCCATGTGCATTGGCTTGGGGAGGCCTCCTGGCAGGCTTGCAGGCTTGGCTACCCCAGCTGAAGAATCTGGTATTTCCTGTGGGACAGTTCATTCTTGACCTCCAGAAGAAAAACTGTTTCCCAGAGGTTTTTTTTGAGAAGGCTCATCCTGGTGGGGAGTTTTGAGAGGGAGATGAGGGGGATGGGAGAGGTCAGCAGTACTGCAGAGCGCTGCCTGGGAGAGCCCCTCAGGGCTGTGGTGAAGTAAGTGCTCCTGGGTCTGAAGCTCCCCCAGCTCTCCTTTTCTGAGTTGGGGGCAGAGGGGAGGAAGGGGATGTGGATGGAGGGAGAGAGCTTCCTGGAGGTTCTGCTACAGGGCTGCCTCAGCCAGCCTGACCCAGCCCACCTGGCAAGCCCAGACAGTACCACACATCTCCAGGTCACCCCCACAGGCATGGTGCCCTCCTTGTTCCCCCTAAGCCTCCAGGCCTTGGCAGACCTCTTCTGTGCTCCCAACTCTGAGCTCCTCCATGTCAAAGCCCGGCTCACAGGGCCATTGCTGACTTGCATGCCCACATCCCACACCAGCTCTCGGAGGGCAGTGACCCTGTCTATCACCAGTGTTTTTCCTGAGCCTGGAATGCAGTCACAGTAAAACATATTTGTCATTCTGAGACAGACGAAGGCATATTTCTGCAGCAGGTGACCTGGTAGGATCTATGTAAGAAAAGGTCACAAACACTTCATCAAATATAACTCCCTGTTGAAAAAGATAATATATAGCTTCAGAATAAAGAAAATTCATAGTTCTTCAAGTGGATTATGCACACAATGAAAGGGGCTAGAATAATGTCGCGCTCATCATACATGCTGCATAAATCCACTTTTCATAGGATAAACTTACATGGGTTTTTAAAAAACCTTTGCAAAATTCTACCCTGAAGGCAATTAAAAATGAATTACCTATTCACAACAGCAACAAAAATGAATCCTCATTGTTGGACTGGGAAAACTTTTGCCAGGGGGAGGAGCCTGGCCTGGAGACAGGAAACAAAGCATATGATAAAGCCCATCTCAGGCCACCACAGAGCTCCCCTCACCCCTGGGGCCATCCGCCTCCCACCCCTCAGCAGAGGCAGGTGCAGGAAGGGCTGGGGAAAGACTTGGGGGCCTACCTGCCCATGGCAAAGGGCAGGCCCAGCTAGTAGTAACTTTGAACCCCATCAGCCCTGCAGCTCTAGGGGTGCAGGAAGAGGAAGGAGACCTCCATGTGTCTGTGTCCTGCCAAGAATCACCTAGCCATCAACACCAGCCCATGACTGCCATACCACTTCTGCTCTCCTCAGCATGAAAGGGGGTTTACTAAATAGGGTGATATAATCCTGTTTGTGGGGGGGAGGGTCTGTGTGCTATGAGCCCTACTAAGCTACAGCCATCAGAGAAGTCCTCTATAAACAGAGCTACCACTAGCAGTCGGTGCACGCAGACACACGGGTTGATGAATCTCATGGCCAAAGGTAAGTGACAACAGGAAGGCCTCCTAAAGGAAGTGAATCTTGTTTGTAGCAGAGCTGACAGGATGGGGATCAGTGCAGCAAGAAGGGCTCCAAGTCAGGAAGCTGGGGGCAGGGCAGATGCTGAGCTGTGTGTGAAGCACGCAGGATGGTTGGCCAGCAAGCCACTCTGTCACCTTCCCTTATAACCCTCTCCAACCACCAGCTTCTTTATTTCCACTGATACTACCACTGTGACCCCAGCCACTCAGACACCCACACTTAGTGGTCTTCCATTTCTTCATCTTCTTTACCTACCCCCGCAACCCTTATCCTGCCCTTCCCAGCCAGGCAACAGATGCTATTACTTCTGTCCTTGCTTCTCGAACTGGTCATTCTCTGTCTGTGGTCCTGGCTGCTATGCCAGTCTAGGCCTTGCTGTCTCCCTTCCTGACCTTCCCTGGGCTCTGTATTTCTCTTCTGGCACAGACTCCACCAAAACCCCTAAACTGAGCTTCATGTACAGTGCTTGTCATTCCAAAATCTTGCATGATTCCCTACTGCCTTAAGACTGGAGTTCCTTGGCAGGAGATCGGATGAAACTGGGGCCATACGTCCTCTCCAGCCCAGAACAAGCTGTTAGCAGGATGCCTCTGCTGCTGTGGACCCCTGCCTGGAAGCCCATCCCCTCTGGCCTGCCTTCAGGGCTTAGATCAAAGTCCAGCACTCGGCTCCCTCTCTTCCCACTTCCAGCAGCTCCTCCCGACACACTCAAAGCACTTGTCAGCACTTGGCTCTAATAGTTTTACCACTGTAAGTGTGTCTTCTCTTTCCAGATCTATTGAGAGAAGACCCACTCCATCTCTCAGATTGCTCTAATCCCTGCAGCGGGACCTGCTCAAGTGGTGACTGATAGAAAGGCCTTAAGATAAGCTTTCCCCTTAACAATACACCAGGCTCTTGAAGTCTTGGTGAGTGAGGAGACAGAAGGTGGGGCTAATTTTTGAGACAATGCACTTTCCTGTATGGAAGCAAGACAGGCTCATTTCAAGGTCTGCTTCCACCACTGCAGGGAAAATACCAGAAACCTGGCGAGACTGGTGGCACCGTCAGTGTTTCAACCTTTGGACAACTGTTAACAAGATCAAGGAGTAAATAGTCATAGTATCTTCTGTTGATAGACAAATTCTCAGCTGCCACCAGTATTCTCATAGAATAATAGGA